GCTGAGAATTTTCTACAGTCGTATTCGAAAGATTGTACGCCTAATTACCCGGATAGCACATGACGCCTTGAAGACGTCTATTTTAGGTTTGAGACGCCTTTAAGTCGTCTTCAAGACGCCATGTGCTACCTGGGTACTAGGGGGTAAAAATAATCTCAACTATTCTAGGTGAAAGTAAAGACATTAAACTTCAAAAAATGCGTTGATTACACTCAAACCATTCAGATGTGTTTAATACTTTGAGTGCACACATCCTAAAAGTTCTTATGTAAAAGTGCATATGGAGGACAAGAAACCCCAAGTAATTTAAAACTCGAAATATCTTTTAAAATATGGACTCTTCCAAAGTGTTTGTAGGAGTGTTTTTTGAAGTACTGTGCTTTTACTTGCAGGTGGAATAGAAATATAATTATAGAAAATATAGTTTAAAGTAATAAAAAAAGGGTTTAAGGTGAATCGAAGTTCAAGCCAAACTTGGGACTGGGGTCTTTTATCCTCCGACGCAGTTGAAGTGTTAATTAAACGACGAATTTAAACAGTTCAAGCCGAGTCTGATCACGGCCTGGCGTTCGAACTGTGACGATCGCTTTCGAACAGTCCGATGATGTTTCAAACTTCAAATCATCTGGTGACGTTGCAAACTTAGACGTTAGATTGCAAATACTTATGAACTGATCATTTACCCGAAGTTGACTACTTTTTGGATTCGTCGTCAGGTATTTTAATTTCACCAGATCTTACTAAACTTTCATACTTTATAAATTAATTTCATCAAAATTTGATGTAGAATAACCTGAACGAATGTACAGAAATTGAAATTCAAGAAATGTGTCTTCACTCCATTAATAATGCATTCTATAAGATTCCAAATGCAATAAACCTAACCCAATCTTCGTTGAACCTTACTAAACGTTTTACTACGACGATCTTTACCACTTTGACCACCACGTCACCTATATGTATATAGGGGATATAATTTTTGGTTTCAAATTCAAAATTAATCGTTAGCCCGTTCATTCATGGTCAAAATGTGTAACCAGTGGCGTTGGTAACTTTTGCGCCGACACGCGAATCAATGGTAACTCGTCCAGCGAGAATTTGCTCTATTATTAGTTAAAATAATCTCCATTGATTAATACTAGCCCCAAAAGTAATTCGAAGTAGTAATATCGATCGATGTGACACGCGAAACGGCAATTCCATCGGATGTTAATAATTATTATCAGAAATCATAGAGCATGATATCGTTGCTGCCTTACTGATTAATAATTTTCAGTGAAATTTTTCACTTGCTTGTTTTCCATTTAATTATACTAATGACCTCGGTTTATCGATGTAATCTCCGCTCGTAACATATGGCATATTTAAAATTCAGTCAGGATTGCCACATTTTTACGATATTCCGCCTAATTACACACGAGTATTAGCTGATTCAGTGGAATGAATGTTTCGGGACTCTCGATGGATATATGGTCGAAATACTAATTATTGGTACTGATAGCACTGGTACATAATTATTGATTTATTGGTAAACATAACAAAGACAAAGGCACAGTTTGTTTAGCGAGGAATGACAAGAAGATTCTTGGAAGTACTTAGGTACGTGTTTTAATTTACACTGAAAAGGCCGAGCTCTGTTAATAACATTCATTCACAAAGACATAGTTAGCTGTATCTATTAGTAAAACCGGCCACTTCATACCTGATGGTAGGAAAATTATTACATTCAGGTAGAACTATGGATTCCACAAACTTCAAAGTTCGACACTAATAAATATAAGAAAAAACTAATACCACGAGAAGCACAAGCAGCCTTCCTATATCTTCATCAATGAATATTTTCACCGGGGAAGATTAATAGCTACAATACACCACAGATTCACACGAAGAGATGTCCAACAACTCACCAGGAAAAACTAGGGACAACAGCACACCACAGATCACACCAATGGACGTCCAAGAACTCACCGGGGAAGAATAATAGCTACAATACACCACAGATTCACACCAAGAGATATCCAAGAACTCACCAGGGAAAACTGAGAGCAACAGCACCCCACAGATCACACCAATGGACATCCAAGAACTGACCGAGGAAAATTAATAGCTACAATACACCACAGATTAACATTAATGGACACCCAAGAACTCATCTGGGAAGATCAAGAGCTACAATACACCACAGATTCACACCAATGGACGTCCAAGAACTCACCGGGGAAGATTAATATCTACAATACACCACAGATTGACACTAATGGACACCCAAGAACTCATCTGGGAAGATCAAGAGCTACAATACACCACAGATTCACACCAGGAGATATCCAAGAACTCACCAGGGAGAACTGAGAGCAACAGCACCCCACAGATCACACCAATGGACGTCCAAGAACTCACCGGGGAACAGCACAGGACCTCTCTTGGCCAGCCAAGGCAGGGCGTAAGGTGGGAACGGGAAACCAGGTGTCTTAGCGGCTGCGACAGCGGCAGCCTGTTGATGCTGATGCCACACGTAGTCCATGACTAGGCTTCTGGACAACGGTAGAGGCAGCTCGGGGAATGGCGGGACCCTTGGATGCGTCGGCGACGGGCCAAGGGCTGGTATCTGACCGGTGGGCGATGATCTCGGTTGTTTCGCTGGGCTGGGCGACTCTCTCGAACTCGGATTGTTGAGTAATCGCTTTCTGGTCCCGCCGTTGAACATCGCTTTGACGTCCTCCCAGGCATGGACCACCTCGTCCGGCGGGCTACCAGAGAGCTTCATGTGACGTCGCCAGGAATTGAAGTTCGCAGCGTCCGGCTGGACGTATTTGTCCGACGGGCCGATACGGTGGGAGTGGAAAATGAATTTGTTCGGGGAGAAGAAGAGGCCACAGTAGGCGCATTTGATGCACTTCGCTCGGGAGCTGTTGTAACGGGCTGGAAGGAACGCGCCGCTGCAGCCCCAAGCGCATTCGTGGTGGACGGAGAAGGCGAAGTCCTCGGGCAGTCTTTAAGAAAATAATAGTTGTTGGTAGAGTGTGACCAGAGTCCAATGTTTGCAATGTAGTAGACTGAACAGATGACGATATTTAGTCTTGGAAAGAATATACAGAGTGATAAAGAAGGGTTGGTATATTTTGGGCAAGGATGAACTGATGTAAGTAAATACAATATATATACTAACAGACATAAAAAGATAGATGGTACTAATATTTTATTTCGTAATTTCAAATATGTAGCCGTATGGCAACAGTGGGAACGAAAGGATTAATTAAATATATCGTCGCTCTAGTTCTTAATTGTTCTATCTTCACTACTAGTTTCTGAACTGAGAAAACTGAGTTCAAAGTTTACCAAGTTTAATATTATAGAAGTAGGAAGGTAGTGAAATAATCAAACACACTATTGCATAATTTTATCTCATTATCAACATAAATTTTTAATTGTTGTTAGCATTTGGAGATACAGGTATTAAGAAAGAAAACTTTCAAAGTTTCGGAGTTAGGACTTAAAAGAATATTTGTTGTTTTCTAGATTCAATTTTCTTTATATTATCGTGAATTTGTATTCCTGGGCCAATAAAATGCACGTAGATTGATTAACGAAATTTGTCTGAAAAATGCAGTTATGTATATCAGTTGAGAACTCGGGCGACGATACAGCAATAATAGGAACGAAAGGGTTAACTAAATGTACATATTTTCAACGATTTATAACGTTAAAAAAAACGAAGTACAGTGTTTCTGGCTATGCACGGCTTTTTTCACTGTGGCAACCACGGTGTTAACGTTAGAACTACCAGCGTTAAATGTATGCTAACTTAAATTGTCTGATTTAGGTTAATTCTGATTAGGATTATTGTCTGAATTAGGATAATATACGTAAGATAGATACTTAGGATAATATAAACCGGGGACTTTTACCGAAATGTAAAATACTGGTATTATACTGGTAGTTTCGATTATAGCTTCGCCCTTATGTATATCCTTATACAAGCCCTACCCTTATAGAAACCGAAAAAAATACCGGTATTTATTTTGGTTTTCGGTAATACAATCGGTTTCGGTATAGCTTTGATGGCATAATACCGGTGTCAAAATCATACCGGTTTAAGTCCCTGATTATAATGTGTGCAAGGAATTAAAGGTCAACATAAACTCCGACGAAAGTATCTTTAGGATTTCCATAATTGTAAAATAAAAAATCTGAAATCCGTCATTTCGACGGGTTCGGTAATTCGAGTGTTAAAGGTAAGCTATTTAAGAAGGATATTCAACGAGGTCTGACCAACCTGGGCGGTGCATTGTCGCCGAGGAACGATTTGCAAAGACGCTCGGCTTCCCTTCGCGTAATCATGCCGCATCTTCTCGATGAGGCCGGCATTGCGCCGGCCCGACGGAGGATCTCCAATTGGACGGGCGTGCACTGCACGCATGTGATCCCCAACGCGACCCGACGATTGTGAATCTCGTTGTAGCTGAAGTGTTTCAGCAACGTGTTGCTGATCTGGGCCAAACAGAGCCGTTCCTGGCCCTCGATCACCAAGGAGACGATGTGGATCCCGTAGAGGGACACGGTGCTCACCTGCAACTCCTATGAGTTTAGACTCGCAACGCGGTTCTTCGTTAAATCGATATTCGATTGGTATTTATAAAACAATTATAACTAGACTGCGGATTTTGTGCATTTATAGCAGAGATGAGCAAACTAATTATCTAGATAAAAAGTTTCGAATAACGAATAAAGGATAAAAAAACGTATATTGTTATTTTTAACACTAGAACTATCAGAGATGTTAAAATGACTGGTTGTCACATTCTTTTAACGATGATTAAAATATTATAACAACACAATTCCTCAGATTTTTGGCAACTTTTATTTGATATGGGAGTCACGAAATCAGTTAATTTATAAATTTGTTCATTTTCACACGTTTATCATGTTTATCAACCATTGAACTAGACGTGCGATTATTGTCGGTATTCTAGTGTTAATTACTTAAATGTGGAAATTTAAATTTTTATAATAAAATAATACTTCTTTATGAATGAATCGACATTTGTCGAACAATTATTTAATCTGCTGCTTTTCACTGTGTATTATTCGAATAAAATTCTGCCCAACTCTGATTTATAACCTATAGGGGTTTGTAAAATACAGTAGAATAAAAGATTTTCATCAGATCCAATCAGTTTTCTAGTTTATTGCGAATCTAATATGATACTTAAGAAAAGGAAGAAATTCTTACATTTGCTCTTCTCTGTATAAATTGCTTTAGAAAATACCATTTTGCATAAAAATTTGCAGTCTAATTATAACCATTATTATTCAATTGTTTTAGTCCACTATCAGTGTACCCTAGTTTATTCGACTTGTCACACGTTTACAGTTCTGGAATATATTTCCAACTTATTTAGCAAACAAACTTGCAGTTCAATCTTAAACCCTTAACCCTTTAGAGGGAGTTGGGACACTTTGATGCAACATGGCACAACGAAACACCAGTAGTATCTCGATATGCATAAACATTTAAAAATTAAAGTTATCAGCGATCTCATCTTGTGATCATGTTTTGAACTTTTAAATGTTTATGGATATCGAGATATTATTGGTGTTTCGTTGTGCCCTGTTGGAGCAAAGTGCCTCAACTTCTCTTATAATGCAGTGGCAATTATATTGTCACTAACTTTTTATTTTTTTTCAGTTTACCTATGGTTTATTTTTGTTCTTTTTTTCCTTAGATATCAGGTGTCAACTGTCAATTTGAGTTCCATGTTTGTTGGTCTAAGAGGTTACTTTTTTAACCCTTTGATCGCAAACAACACTTTTAGACGTTCTTCTTTTATTGTAACAAGAGATTCGGAATTGACTATTATTGAATTTGCATTCATCTTACGGTTCTTCTGTGATAACTATAGTTGTTATATTGTATAAAATTCATACAAAGAATTGGATCTTCATTAAATTATTAAAAAAGAACATCGTAATATCGTACACAGCGAGCATCCTGCTTCCCAGTGGTTCGAAAGGGTTAAAGAGTGACGAAACAATAAAAATTCTTACAAAATTTGTTCAATATGAAGTAACAATTTATAAGAGATCTCTTTACTAGATTGCGGATTTTTATGCAAAATAAAATTTTATAAGGTGATTCTTAAAGACAAGAGCAAAAATAGGAATTTCTTTTTTCTCTTAAATATCTTGTTGGATTAAACTTCGTAGCATCTCATGAAAGTTTTGTCTTTTATTGTATTTCACAGAGCCCCATAAGCTATAAATGCATAAAATTCGCAGTCTACTCATTACGATACAAAACTAACAAAATTGTGGGTGGTTCCATTCCAGAAATAGATATCTGGTGCTTTATACACAGCGTAGTCTCTCAGACGCCATGTAATTAATAATTAAGGGTTAAGGATATGCACGAGATTCATGTCCAAGTTTCTGTATTCGATCTCGATTTTGAATTTAAATCTTGAATCTTAATTAATACTAGGCACCAATTGATAAATTAATATGAATCTGGCTTTTTATTAGGCTTCCGTTTTCATGAAAGCATCTTATCATCAAAATTTTCAATCCTCAAACTATTTCCTCGACAAATATCAACCTACAAACATTTATTTACAGTAGAAACAAACAGAAATTTCTTGTACTTTGTCGCAGGTTCTATCGATCCTCACATTACACGAGAACCGTACTAAAATCTATTGAACTTCTTAATACATTGAATTTCAGACAGTTAGGTATGCTATAAATGCATAAAACCCACAGTTTAATAATTATCGTTACATAATTTCCAAAATGAGTATTTTATTCATATATTAATTTGTATTTGATGATACCATAGGTACCATTAACCAATCACTATCGCCAAAGTATTGTAGAAATTCTAATACCTTGGTACTACTGTAATTACTAACAATATCGTTCACAAATTCCCCATAAGATAGAAAATATTACCTCGTACCTACCTAAAATGAACAATATATTTAAAACAAAACCTCCAAATACTACTTGAGACCTCCATAATGTTACATAAATTTCAAAACGAAATACAGTACATTTCATAACTTTAAAACCATCTTGAAATGTTCAATTCCTATATTTTCGTAACATAATAATTCAATTAAATCAAGTATATCGTGTATTACAGCATATTGAAAATCAGTACTTCACTGTTGAGAGAAACACTGTACCTTTCTGCACATCAAAATTTCGTTATTGTTTCGCAGCTATTCATTTAAAACTGGACACTGCGGACGGTTTTACAGTTTCGAAATGCAGCGTACAGTATTTATTATGGTACCATTTAAAAGCGGATATTTTTCCCAATCTCGATTGCAACAATGCCTCCGACCTGATAACGTTTCAATATAATGATTACAACACTTTGTTGGACCGTGTTATCGTGCTCGCGACGTGATCTACTGGCACGGAACATTCATAAAATCCGAGTTCTACGGGCGTGAAGTGATGTACAATACCTGATTGGATTTCGAATGCGACTGTGGCTGCGGCGACTGTGCTGATTTTTGGGGCGCGGTTATCGGCGGCATCGATAATACCGCCGGCCCGTCCATCCTGGAAAAACAATCAAACAATCAATCAATTTTTCTACCCCCTCCCCCCTCGTTTGTAGCCAACCTTTCATCGTCCGTTTAATAAATTATCGTTCCTCTCCGGTACACGCTAATGAACAGCTTTACGAATTACAACCGATCCTTTCGAAATCGACTTTTCTCTCTCAGCAATGGCGGAGGCGATGGAAAAATCCGCGATACGTTTTATTCTTCGCCTCCATTTCCATTGTAATATATATATATATAGATTTATTACGCTTTATCGATCACTTGTTACAGAACCATCATTAAATGGCCGCTCCCCATTTAGTCCAATTAAATCGTGTCCAGGGCATTTTTATAGATCCGTTTCGCGGTCAATTAATCGCGTTCACCATTGGTAGAACACGGTACCGTGCAGATTTCGGCAAGTTGAGCGAGCGTGGATTTCAAGTGTGATTAAGTTCGACGGGAAGAACATTTTTAATCGTCGTCCTGGTAGCTGTTTCGGTGATTAATTAAACTCAAAGAGTCGGTGGCGCAGGAGTTAAACCCTCGTGTTCGCCAAAGACGTCGCCGTTCGGTCTCTTTTAACGAACTCTGGAATTAAAAGGACCGAGCGGTTCCGTTTTCAGGACAGTTTCTTCTGGCCGTTTCTTTCAATCAGGAATTAATCGTCCGTGTTGAGACTACAACTTTTGAAAAAAACATGCTTTGAATTATACATGGTCCGGTGGGGGAACTTTGTGATTTAAACGTTATTCAATGTTGGGGGATCTATGCTGCGAAAGTTAATAAAATTTCACAATGTGTAATTCGTCTTCGACATTTGATTCTGTTTTTATCAGTATCTTTCATACGTCTTTGTATTTATTTTATGAAGTGATTTTACAAAGAAAGAAAGGCATAGTGTAATACTTTTGTAATTAAATTTGTTGTTCTAGAAATTTGTAAATTAATATGAAACCAATAGCTTAGATATATTATAATCTAGTGATAGGAAAATATATTTCGTTAGTTCCATTTTAATTTACATGATCTAATTGTTTATTGAACAGTGCACGAGTTAAATGGCTCATAAAAGGTTCCGTAAGAACTTTAGTTTTACCGTTTATTATTATTAAATATATATAAAATTCAACTAACAGGCAATATAGAAAATTTGAGTCCCCTTGTGTCAAATGTAATGAGATTTTTTAGTTATTTAAAATGTTCTTCAGATTCAGATTATTTAGTTTCGGAGATATGGATGAGATAAACTTAGTTCAGATTCACTTAAAAACTGATAGAAAGTACCATGATTAGTTACATCAGTGTTATCTAAAAACCAACAAATGTATCCACAAACTGTCCACTCAATTTTAACACCCTATAGATAAATACTTAAATGAATATACATCAAATTTATAAGCTGTCCATTCCAAAACAAGCTAATAAACGTTGTCTTTTGTCACTAATTTACATTTTCTTCTTTCCTATCTTTATACAATTGTCTTTCAAGAGCAAAAACAACATACTGTTGTTAAAAGTTGCACGCCACACCAGTCAACCTGTACAGTGTTACCACCATTTACGTACTGTTACTACAAATTTACCATGTTTCCGAATATTTACTATCAGTTTATTTGCCTAGCCACAAACTTCATCAAAATCCTACGAAATAATTACATTCACCAGGAACTCCCTAAAAAAAACCATCAAAAATAGTCATATCCGCTAGCCCCACAAAAACACTCCCTGCGATTCCACCGTATCAATTCCATCAGTAAAAAACCTCGCCAACTATTCCCCCGATACATAATTCGGTGCTCGAGCAAGATCGCATCTCTAGGTCCAAAGCGTTCAAGAACCTTCCCTCCGCCCCGGTGAAACTCTTTCAGACGTTCCCGATCGAGCAAAGTCGCGAACGATGAAAAGGGGAACCGTCGAATAGACAAGAAGAGACCACCACCACCAACTAGCCGCGGAAGGCACCGAGTGGAAAGGTAGATTCTTTCGCGTCCCGTTCCTCATCCTCTTAGTCGAGCGATTCCAGTCGTCTCCTTCGATGGAAATACGTGGGCGCGCTGGGAACAACGTGCAACGGGCCCCCAGACACGGCTACAGAGACTCTAGCTTCCATTAGTTTAACGCGCGGCGAAGATTTCATTGGGTTTCTGAATTTTTCATGAGGGAACGTCGCCCGGCGTGGAAGGGAGGGATGGGATGGAGTGGGTGGTAGAACGACCGGGATGGATAAAAAGCGTAAAGAAAGAAACACAGGCTGGCGTGGAGAACGTTAAAGCGAGATGAACAGACGTTCCGATTTTGCGCAGGTACGAAGGCTTGGGTAACAGAGAGAGAGAGAGAGAGGGCGAGAGAGAGAGGGGGGGGAGAAAGAGAGAGAGAGGAAGGTCGATAGATACTCGGAGGTAGGAAGAGAGAATGGTTCCAGGGGGTGAGGGGGCGGTGGTAGAGACCGAGACAACCCTCGGTGTTGATTTTAATTGAAAACGCCTCCATGAAGGTATATACTATATATATATATATACACCGTTCAACCGTGTACCGGGGCGCGCACCGTACAACGGTGGTACGCAGATAAAACTCATCTACAGGACGAGAGAGCGTAGCCCTGACGTAGAAGCACAGAGAGACCGGCACACAGCGCTCCAGCAAACGTCCCCGGGGACCCGGAAGCCAGGGGGGTAATTCAATTTGACACCCCCCACCCACGCTTAAACAAGGCAGCACCCATCCGACCACCCTCCACCTTCACCCCTTCATCCCGTCCCTTCCACCGCTTTGCTCCTGTTCTCTGTCTCTCTCCGATCCTCTCCAGCTTCATCTCTCTGTCTTCATCCATTTCAGCCCTCCTACACCCCCCACCTCCCCCATCGCGTGGTGCTCGCGCCCTCTTCTCCTCCGTCGACCATTTCCTCTACCCTGCTACTACCAACCCTCTCTCTGTGTTACACCCTCTCTTTATCTGTTACTCCGTCTCTATCTGTTTCTCTCTCTCTATGGAAACCACCTACATGCATCCCGCTGGTCAGCGGTTCGACAGGATCGGGACTCGAATCGACCGCATTAATTACTCGCTACTTACAATTAGTGCAAACTAGCGACGGCCGCGCGTACCGTTTCTACTAATGGTCGCGGTGTTTGTTCGTCTACTTACGCGGGACGCATTAACTAATTGAGCGCCGATAATGAGACGGTGAACGATCTCCGGGGATGGATATAGTTAGGCTCGACTTTGTTTCGACGTGGGACCCTTTGCGTGACGGAGCGAAGACACGGGAAGAAAGTTTGTGATTTTGTGGGAGGAGTATGTTTGATGTTAGAGAACGGAATGATGGGAATGAAAAGTGGTTTTCGAAGTTCCCTTTGTTTTTTAGGTAGGAAGAAATTAGTTGGATTGGAGGATGAATAAATATATTTATAGTTTATTGATCAATAGTCAGTAACATTAATTTGGGGATTAAATTGCCAGTCTTCCGGGTAGTGTAAAAATTATGCAGGTCAATTTGTAGAGTTTGTAAAATTGTTTTCATTGTGCATTGAATTCTTGTAAAATGTACTCTAATAACACTAGTTTACAGTCATTTGGTCATCGAGACTCCACTACGAAATTTTTATATAAGGTGGTTTCCTAAACTTAAAAATCGACATGAGACGAAATCCTAAGGGTACATTTTTGAGATATCGCCCGATCAATATTTTGGTATTTTTTTAAAAAGACGACCCGACGTTTTTGGCCATATCTCGCGTTAGAGTTGACCGATTTAATCACGGCGACTCTTAAATTAAAGATAATTAAATTATATATTATTCTCTCCTGCATTATTTTCCAATCGGATGAAGTTTTGGCGGAATTGAGCGAAATTTAAGAAAAATGTAATTTTTTGGGCCGAAATTCTAATCGAAAATTCACTAGATCGCCTAGAAAACATAGAAATTATTATGTGACGTTCAGTTACATATTTTTTACCTAGATTACACACCTTTACAAAGAAAACAAGCCCAACCTGAGCAAAATCTATGGACAAATAAGGAAGTTATTGACGATAGAGTGGGAGTGCTTATTCTCAAAGCGTTTCCGTGATATTTCGACAGAAACGTAAGAAAATTTGTAATCGCAAATTGACAAAAGGTTTAACCCGAAGCGTTTGAGGTGGTAATAAATCGAAAAAGGAAGAATTACATTCCCACAGGAATCTATCTATAGTTCCTGTAACGTTGTACCGTAATTTGCAGAACGTCAGAAAGCCATGAGAAACAAAATCTGAAATGGAGAAGGTATTGATGGTGTTTTCCCGTTTCTGGAGAACAAGGGGGTGTGCTCGTTGCAGAAACGGACGCGATACAAGGGATGTTATATGCATTGGAGGGTAGGCGGGAAGTCACGAGGATAAGCGTACACCCGCGGGCTCGCGGATTATTTAAATGCAAACACAATGTTGTACCGAGGCGTATTGTTCCCCTCTCGGTTATTTTACAATTCAATCTGCGATCCTCGGCTTCTGGTGGCGGTCGAGGGGAAGGCAGGGTGGTCCAGGGGAACGGCTGTTCGTTCATTGTAACGTTGTTAAATCTCTGCGCTTCCATTATAACTAGTCTCTGTCTTTCTCTCTGTTTCGTCACTGCTGCAACCCCCCGCCCCTCCTGGAAGGTGTTTCCACACCACTCCCCCGTGTTTTCTGATTCTCTTGCCCTCTTGCTCTTGCCTTGTTTCTCTTTGCATTCTTCTTGTCGCTTCTGTTCTCATTGAAATAACAGTTTCTTTCTTTCACATTCTTTTAGAGCCTCTTCGAGGGTTGTTAATAATTAGAGTCACCGAAAATTGAAAGACGTTGTCTTCAGTTTCCAGAGTTATTCTGGTGAGACGTACCTTGACTGATTATTGTCAATTGGTTTGTTCTGAAACCTGTTCAATTGCATCGTTTTACGCCTGTCGGGAAGTTCTTTTATTTTTTCGAGGTGTCTCTATATTTGAAGGAAGATTTATATGCAAAAGGAATTAATAAATGTTCAAGAAG